GAACGGACGGTGTTTTAGGTATCGGCATTGCTAGCGTCTTCACCCGAATAGAACGCCGCCCGTACTGTCATTATCGCTGCATCTAGAATGAAAACTGCGTCAAATACAGGTGTAATGACCGGGGGTTCTATTCGGATGAAGAGGACTGACTCCCTCTGCCGCCTGGTCTAACTGATCTTGATGAGGGCAGCGGGCGCTTCATATGGAAGAGGGAAAAGAGTACAAAGTCCTAGCCAATGGAGAAGGCAGAGAAGGGAGAGTAGGGAGCTGAGAAGGAAGAGGAGGGAGAGGAGTAGTAACTAGCAGTGGGAGATGGTTCACTCAAAATATTCAATAAGAATGCAGGGAGATGAGAAGGAAGAGGAGGGACATCCGTTAAAATTGGAACGATACAGAGAAGATTAGCATGGCCCCTGCGCAAGGATGACACGCAGAAATCGAGAAATGGAAGAGGAGGGAGAGGAGTAGTTACTAGCAGTGGAAAAAGATACAAAGTCCAATAATGCCCCCACTGAGGACGAGGAACCAACGGCGGGAAAAGAAACAGTCTGCGGGAAAAGAAACAGAGTCCAGAATCGCAGGCAATTACCTTCTTCCCCCGAACACAACGCACCCTCTTTTCGCTGCACCGGACCGGAAACATAGCTCGTATACACACATGCGTAATCAGGGTGCGTTATGTCCGGGGGAAGAGGTTAGGAATGGCAAAAGATACTAAGGTAAAGTGGGGAGAACCAGATGACTACGTCTTCGCCCGAACACAACGCACCCTTATTTTGGCTGTATCTGGCCGGAAATATAGCTTGTATGCATTCATTTTTAGGGTGCGTTATGTTCGGGGGAAGACGGTAGCAGGTTATCTGGTCTCAACGGAATACGAACCTGATGATGATGGGTAAGTAGCAGAAGAGAGTCCATATCTGGTTCCAAAGGCTGCTGGGTAATAGCACGGAGGCGATGGACAGGGAAAGGAGGAAGGGTTTTTGATTTTTTTTTTTTTTCCTTTGTTCTTTTTGATAGTTCGGTGGAAGCGTGTTTTTTTTTTTTTTTTTTCGCAAACACGCCGGTTCCTCCTTATAAAAATTGCGCCAATTGACCTCTCTCTCTCTCTCTCTCTCAGAAATTGAGGAAAATCTTGATAGGGGCGGTTGGATTGCCAATCCAATCCAACGGGGAGGAGTTCGTTTGTTATCTATGCTGGCTGTGGGCCTCGCTCCACTACTCACCAAATGTGCAAAATTACAACGAATCTTCCGCTAGATCATGGGAAGATACACGGCAATATTTACTTTTCTGTGCATGTGGTGAGTTGTGGAGCGAGGCCCTATAACAGGTAGTAGTGGTTTAACTCATTTGTCGTAGTGCGTGACCGCTTTTATCTATCTAGTTTCTTTTATTCGTTATCTTTGTAGAGAAGAGCTTAGGGCCAGATCACACTGGCAAGGACGATTGGAATAAGTGTCTGAATCTGGGCGTGTTCCACGCAGAGCTGCAGAAAAGCAGATCAATCACAGTTTTCTGCACCTCACCACAAACACGTCCAGATTCAGACACTCGTTCCAATCCTCTTTGCCAGTGGGATCTGGCCCTTAGTCTCTCTAAGGTTATGTTACTGTAATTTATCCTCTTCGGGATTTGAACTCAGGATCTGTTTACATGCGTGTACCCCGCTCAGCCACAAGGCAGGTACACTTGTTCTGCCCTTTGCCTCTCGAGCAGTGCCTCTTTTTTTTTGTGTGTGTTAATCGGAATGCAGGCCCTCAAATACAATTGTGTCCATTTCGAAAGCTCAGCGAAAAAAAAAAAAAAAAAAAAAAGAAAGCTCAGCGAAGTTGGCTGCAACCCCCTTCTCTCTTCTCTGCTTGAACTTGTTGTGCGAGAGAAAGTGCAGAGAAGTTGCTGGCCATTATGAGTGCCCTATGTTGGAGCAGCGTGGGTAAGCGCGGCAGCAGTCTGAACCCTCAGCACCCCCGTGGTGCAGCTCCTGCAGCAGGGGGGGGCTTAAGGCGGGGGGTCTGTTTTTTTGCCTATACACCTGTCCTTCTCTCCCTGAATCTCTCTACTTGGTCTATACTTGCCGCCGTTGATAAGCAACCGGACTGACGACCCCCAAGAATAGATGATGGGGCATGTGCACTGGTGAAAAAATGGAACAAAGAAAAAGGAAGTGCAGAGAAGTTGGGCTTGGCTCTCTGTGTGTTGCCATGTGTTCGGGCCGTTCCATCATTTTTTTTTTTGCCACGTGGACGCCGTCCGTCACATTTTGCCACGGTGACAGCGTCCATCATATTTTTGCCACGTGGATGGCTTCCATCAGATTTTGCAACGTGGACCGCGACCATTACATTTGTTGCCACGTGGATGGCGTTTCGTTCCTTCTTGGAGCTGCTAAAGGACCCTTCTGCTTCATTGGCAGCGTCCCGTTTCACCTTTTTCCTCTTCTTATCTGATTTTATCCTCGATTTTTTTTTTAATCCATGATTTTTCTTTGCTTTTTTTTTTTTGATAAAGAAAGGGCGACGGTTGAGATATCATCATTGAATTGACCGCCCCCAGGTAAGCCAGAATGATTTTATTTAACAACAACAAAAAAAAAGAATGAATTTGTTTTGGTCATGTGCTTGCATCTGGATTCGAACTTGGGTCTGTATTTTAAACAGTTCATGGGTGTACCAACTGAGCTATAGGCCAGTTGGTGGATTTTCGTTTTTTGTTTCCTTCGTTTGAATCTTTTTTTTCTCTCTCTTTTTCTTTCTTTACTCTGCTTCTTCTTATGATAAAGGGCCGACGGCCTCACCGTTATGAGTCGGACGAAACAGTTTGTCACAGCCCCTCGTTTGTTGTCCTCTTCTCTCTCTCTGCCTACGGTTTTACCGGGCAGTTCTGTTTGTGACGATATATAATCGTTGAACTGACCGGCTCCAGGTAAATTCAGAGATGTTTTCACTCATCTGACTCGATTGGAATTCGGACTTGGGTCTGTAGTTCAACAGTTCACGGGTGTACCAACTGAGGTAGGCCAGTTGGTCTCTGCGCACTCTTTTTGATGCTCTGCTGCTGCTATCTATCTGTACAAGTGCAAATCATGACCTTGATGCAGCGGCCGATTTTGTGTTCTGTTGATCGTACGTGGGGTTCAGACAGTTGTGTCACGTCAGTTTGGTTGAGGGAACCCAGGACTCGAGATGCAAAGAATTTCCACGGCCTTCCAGGCCTTTCTGAAAGGCAGGCCCTGGGCAGGAGTCGCAGCAACATACACAGACAAAAGGTTAGTGCGTTTACCAGCCATTTTTCTAAAAGACACGCAGTGCATGCAGCCGCGTCGGGTGGGATGTGCGCCGGGGTGTCGTTTGCCTGCTGGAAATCCATACCAGGCAAAAGACCCATTTTGCCTGGATGGATTTCCAGCAGGGAAATGGCACCCCCCGGTACATCCCGCCCGACATGGCTGCATGCACGGCACGTCTTAGAAACATGGCTGTGAAAACCACCAACCAGTTCGCACGAGGCTAAGTTGACAGAGCTACCTTCCAAAGCTCGCGAGTCTGTAATTGCACCTTCTCAATCACAATGCTCTTACTGCGTATACCGGTGAGCACTACCTAGGAACCTGCAACTGTGCCACTTTTCAAAGTGGCCTGCCGTTTTCGCTACCGGCCGAGGCCTGAAGCGCAATGCTTTTGTCGTGTATATATGGTAAGGGCATGACTTGGGTTCGGTCTGAACTGGTGGTGGTTTAAACCACCAGCTCACATGAGTCTAAGTTGACAAAGCTAGCTAAAAAAAAAAAAAAAAAAAAAAAAAGAAACAGCTCACATGAGCGTAAGTTGACAAAGCTATCTTGACCAAGCTATAGCTTCCAAGGCTCACGAGCTTGCGACTGCGCCTTTTCAGAGTGGCCTGCTGCTTTGGCTATACCGGCCCAGGCCCGAATCAGAATGCTCGTACTTGTGATAAAAACTACAAGAAAGAGTATGTGGTAGCTAGCCTTTTTAAGTTCTGGAAGCTTTCATGATTGGTGTGTTTTTGTTCTGGATCATGTGCTTTTGTTTGCGATATTGTTATGGATAAGACGGAATTTGACCAGTCCGGGGACTCCTTCCTGAACGAGCCGATGAGAATGGGGGCTTACGACTGGAGTTCTTGGATTTATTGTGTGGGCTCAAGATGGGTCCCTCTCATGGCAACATGAGAGTTCAATCACAACCTCTGACCTCCCCTTCTGTGAGGATAAACAAGCAGATTGATTCTTACTTCTGAATGCGATCGCCACCTGTTCCAGGAGGACCACAATCTGATGGGATGGCTTCTGCAGCCATTCCATGCAGAGGACTGCCTCAGTTTCGTTGCCACTGTATGCAACGGCTGCACCCTTGCATCACATGTCCAATTCAACGGCAAGGAGGTTAAGAAGTGGTAAAACGTGCTAGGAGTAGGAAAAGGAAAAAATAAATGAAAAAATAAATTGAAAAGAGGGTCCATCGTCGTGGTGAATGGCTTCTGCTGCCATTCTCCGCAGACGGTTGCCTCCGTTACATTGCATGCCCAATTCGACGTCAAGGTCGTTAAGAAGCGGCAAAAACAAAAAAAAAAACTACCAGAGGGCAAGGAGGAAAATAAAAAATTATATGAAAAGAGGGTCCACCGTTGCCTCCTTTTGTTTGTCTACTCTCACTCTTGTCTTTTCTTCCCTTCTTTTTGCATCTGTAGTCTTATATGGCCTATTTCCACCACTCGCCATCCGTCAGGTTTTTGAAGGCATCTGGACGTGGAGTTTGTCCGGATGCATTGAGAATTTTGGCGGATGCCGAGTGGTGCAACTAGGCCCATAGTCAAATAGTTGTGTGAGAATATGAATGGCTACCCCTGTCTATCTGACCTGTCTTGATCAACATGCAGAGATGTGCTCGAGCAGCTAATGACAATATGTCTGAGATAGTGACGGTGGTGCTGGACAGGGTGATTAACGGGAACTGACGACAATGGTTGTGGGTGTGCAGGTGGTTCCAAAAGGGACTGTATGGCTAGAGACTGTAGACGGCGATGTGGAGGAGGTAGAGAGGGATGTGGCAGTACTCTCGCCAGTGATTCACAGGGATATGCTGAGGTTTGGGCGGGGCTCGTCACGGGAATCGCCTATTGTTTTGCCGAAGCAAGTTAGCTCCGGCGTCTTGAAGCTGATACTGGAATATTGCAGATTTCATAAAGTACATGGTCGCTCCGACAAGGTATGTATGTGTGCCCTCCTTCCCTGCTCTCTGTATGTGTGCCCTCCTTCCCCGCTCTCTGTATGTGTGCCATCCTTGGCCGCTCGATGCCATGGCTTGCATTGCTTGGACGGGCCTGTTCTCGTGAATGCTCTGCGTACATGCCTTAGAWTRCRGAGAGAGAGAGAGAGAGAGAGAGAGAGAGAGAGAGAGAGAGAGAGAGAGAGAGAGAGAGAGAGAGAGAGAGAGAGAGCRTACAGACCCATGCGTCTCTTRARRGACATGAAGAAWGCGGGMGGACATGGAAAGRMRAKAKRGAGTAATCTTCGTGATAGCTTGCCTGTCAATTATGTAGGACTCCCTTCTTCCACTATTGTGACCACCATAGTGTATCCTCTTCTTGCCGCTATCTCACAAAGCTCCTCATCCATGTCAAGTGTCTAAACAATTCTTTTCCCGCTCTGTTTCTCATTCACTATCTTGTCTGAGGCGCAGTAAACGGCAAAAGATTCTTTCCAGATTCAGCCTTGGTGTCTCTCCCTTTTCCCCCGGACTCTCACATCTGCTGTATCCTCATACCTCGACTGCTGTCTCACGACGTTCTAATTGTTATGTTGGCCCCAAAACGTACAAAATTTCGTAAATATCAGAAAGGTGAGTTTTTCTTTCCATCTATCCACGTAATAGCAAACCACATCATCGGATACCAGAAAGTGCACGAGCAAAAAATGTTAACTCATACCAGCTATGACTGCTTATCGTCTTCAGAAACAGATCAACAGCCAAGTGCCTCACATGCATGGTTGCAAGCAGTCTTCTTGAAGTGCCGGGCCATCGGAATGGCAAGGTCAATATCAGTTCAAACTTCAAATACAATGTGCAGATGTCAGTTGATGACTCTATTGAATGGGGGTGACAGTGTGTTTTGTAATCTCTATAGAACGTGTGCACACTATTTGCCACTGAAGGGGGGGGAGAGAGAGAGAGAGAGAGAGAGAG